CCCGCGCGCGGTCGACGCGAAGCTCAGCTCGTGACGGCGCGGCGCGCCGGCGGCGACCTCGCCGGCGCCCTCGACGTCGCGCACGCGGCGGCCGCGGCGCGCGCGGCGGCCGCGGCGCACGACGACGAAGACGCGGCCGCGCGCGCGGACCTCGCGTCCGCGCTGCTGTCCGTCGCGTCGCTGCTCAACGCCCTCGACGCGGACTCCGTCGCGGACGTCCTCCCCGGCGCGGCCGGCGACCTCGCAGCGGAGCCCGTCGACGCGCTCCTCGGTCTCGTCCACGCGCTCGACCCGGACGGCGCGGCGCCCGCGGCCGCGGCGCCCAAGGCCTGCCACCCGTCGCTCGCCATTCACGCCGCGCCCGCCGGCGCCACCGTCGAGGTGCCCGCGCCCCTGGAGGCCGTCGTCGAGGAGGAGACGTCGCGCGAGCTCGACGCCGCCAAGGAGACGTCCGCGATCCTCGAGTCGCTCAGGGGCTCGCTCTCCGGCGGGGCCAAGGACGCGGGCCTCGACGTCGCCGACGAGGCCGAGCGCACCTACGCGCCCGGCGACGACGCGGGCCGCGGCGGGAAGATTCGCGTAGAGGCGTGGCTCGCGAGCGGCGCCGAGGGCGACGTCTACCGCGTCAGCGACGCGGACATGGGCCCGCTGGCCATGAAGGTCGTCAAGGCCGCCAGGTCCGAAAACCGCGACGCGAAGCTCGTCGCCCTCTGCGCGGAGACGGCGACCTTCGCGCGCGTCGGCGCCGCGTGCCCCTTCGTCGTGAGCCTCCGCTACGCGACCGTGTCCGGCCCCGAGTTTGCGTCCTTCGTGGACCTCGTCGAGGGCCCGCCGCTCGGCGATCTGCTCGCGGCCGGCGGCCTCGCGGACGCGGATCTGTTGTCCCTCGCCGAGCAGCTGGGCAAGGGCCTCGCGCACGTCCACGGCCGCGGCGTCATCCACTCGGACGTGAAACCGGACAACCTGCTCGTGGGCCGGAGCGGCGGCGCGCTGCACCTGCGCATCACGGACTTTGGGCTCGCGGCGACGGCGCCGGAGCCGACCGCGGACGCCGTCGGGCGCGCGCTCGCGGGCGCGGCGGCCGCCGCGGACGGCGGTTCTCAGGCGCTGACGATGGACGCGCTCCGGGGCTGCACGCGCAAGTACGCGTCGCCGGAGATCGCGGCGCGGTGGGCCGCGGCCGGCGGCGGCGGCTCGTCGTCGCTCGCGGCGAGCTCTTCATCCGCGAAGGGCGCCGCCGCGCCGCCGAGCGGCGCGCCGCTGACGCCCGCGACGAGCGACAACTGGGCCGCGGCGCTCACGGTCTTCGAGCTCTTCGCGTCGGGCAGCGGCGCCGTGGCCTGGCCCGGCGGCGGCGAGCACGGCCTCGCGGCGCTGGAGGCCTACGCGGCGAAGCCGACGTGCGACGACCGCGCGGCGGCGGTCCGCGCGGCCTGCGGCGACCGCGTCTTCGAGCAGGTGAAAGACGCGCCGGACCCGTTCCGCGTCGCCGTCGACGCGCCGCCCGTCGAAGTCGCGCGCTACCACAGGTGCCGCCGGAGCTACCGGCCGCGCGACATGCCCGCGGCGCTGCTCGCGCACCTCCGCGCGGCGCTCGCGGCGGACCCCGCGGACCGGCCGCCGTCGGCGTCCGCGCTCGCGGCGGCCGCCGCGGCGCCGGGCTCGCCCGCGGCGCGCATCGAGGCCGCGCACCCGGCGACGCCGCACGACGCCTACGTCGGGTTGTACAACAACTGCGGGAACGCCTTGGCGGAGCTCAAGGAGCCGGACAAGGCCCTCGTGGGCTTCACCGGTCGCTGGCCCTCGGCGGGCGGCCGGACCTCCAGGAGCGGACGCTCTCGAACGCCGCGAGCTGCCTCCGGGCCCGGGCGACGGACGCGGAGGCGGCCGCGGGCGACGCCGCGGCCGGAAGGCGCGAGCAAGCCGGGGCCTGGGCGCGGGCGGCGGAGGAGCTCCGGGCGGCCGCGGCCGCGTGGCGCGAGCGCCTCGAGCGCGTGCTCGCGAGCCTCCGCGCCTGCGACGAGCGGCGCGAGCGCCACGACGAGCTCCAAAGACTCGAGGACGCGTGGCGCGCGCACTTTGAGCGAGCCGTCGGCGCGCTGGCGGACGTCGACGGCGCCGTCTTCGAGGCCGAGATCGAGGTCGCGCGCGTCCTCGCCGAGGCCGCTGCGCTCCTCGAGACGACGCGGGCCTGGTGCGCCCAGGCGGAGGCGCTGCTCGGCGAGGGGCGCGGCTGGGTCGCGAAGCTCGCCGAGGCCGCCGCGGCCGCCAAGGCCGAGGCCGACGCGCTGCGGGCCCTCAACGACGAGGCCTCGACGCTCGCGGCCGCCGCCGACGGCCTCGCGGCGGAATTCGGCGATCTCCGGCACAAGCTCGAAGGCAGCGACGCGCGCGCGTCGGCGCTCGACGAGAGGGCCGCCAGCCTCCTCGCCGGGGACGTCGACGGGCCGGCCTACCTCGACGGGCCCCCGACCCACCTCGCCGGGGGCGTCGGCGACGGGTCGGCGATCGGCGAGATGCGCGCGGCGCTGGCGGTCAGGAGCTGCGCCGGCCCGGACTCCGCGGGCGGCCGCGCGGCGGCGGGCAAGGACGCGGCGGAGCGGGACGCGGGCGTCGCGCGCGCGGCGGGCGCCGCGGCGACCGAGGCCGCGGCGCCGCTCGACGAGGCCGCGGCGGCCTGCGACGCCGAGCGGGCGGCGCTGGGGACGTCCATCGCCGCGCTCGAGGGGAAGCTCGAAGAAGCCAAGGCGCTGCTGAAGCGCCTCGAGGACGTCGAGGCGCGGGGCGGGGCCGCGCGCGACGACGCGCTCCGACTCCACGCGGCCGTCGCCGCGGCCGTCGCGGAGCTCGCGGCGGCCCTCCTCTTCGTCCTCGAGGCCGCCGCGGCGCGCGAGACCTGGCGCGCCGCCGTCGCCAAGCGCCGGGGCGAGCTCGAGCTCGCGGAGACGGTCATCGCCAAGGCCGCGGCCGACGCGGAAGCGTGCGCGGCGCTGCTCGAGACCCTCGTCGAAGACGCGGCCGCGCACGACGCCGACGTGGCCAAACGGCTCGCGGCGCTCGTGGCGAAGATCGACCGGGCGCTCGAGGCCATGACCGCGGCCTTGGGCGGCCGCGTGAAAGTCGGCCGCGAGCCGCGCTACGAGGCGCAGGAAATGGTCGCGGACGCGCGCCAGGCGCTGCTGGCCGCGGAGCGGACGCAGGCGCGGGCGCGGGCCCTCCAGGAGGCGCGCTGCGCGGCGCGCCGGTGCGCCGACGCCGAGGCCGCGCGGGCCTGCATGGAGCGGCTCGAGGCGTGCCCGGCCCGCGAGATGTTGGCGCGCTACGGAGATACGCAGTTAGAACGGCGCCTGGCAGCGGACATGTGCCGCATGGAGATGGCGGGTGCGTACAAGATGGCGTTCGCGAACCCGTTCGACGAGCTGAAGCACGATTTCGAACAGTGGAAGGCGGAGCGCGACGGCCTGCTGGAAACGCTCGCGGACCTCTCCGCAAAGGGGGCGGCGTCGACGCGGGCCTGCGAGGCGTGCCGGGCATCCGTGGCGACGCGCGTCGACGCGGCGACGCGCCTCCTCGCGGGCCTCGACGTGCCGGACCGGCTCCGGCGCGCGGGCGACTGCCGGTCCCGCATCGACGCGCACGTTTCTTCGAGCGCGCTCGCGGACGTGGAAGCGGGCGTCAAGGATCTGGAGGCGCGCATCGCGTCCGTGGAGGCGACGCTGCGGGACTGCCACGCCAAGCTCGACGCGCTCGAGGCGTCGACGCTGGGGCCCGCGCGCGAGCTCGTCGCGGAGCTGCGCGAGAAGTTCGCCGCGGAGGCCGCGGCCATGGAGCGGTGGTACGAGGCCACGGAGCGGGAGCGTGACGAGGAGCGCGCGTGGGAGCGGCTGCGCGCCGAGGAGGCGTCGCGCATCCGCGGCCTCCGGGACGACGAGTCGCGCGCGCGCGCGGCGCTGGCCGACGAGCGCGCGGCCCTCGGCGACCTCGAGGCGTGGTGCGCCGCGCACCTCGGCCACATGATGGCGTGGATCGACGCGCGCGCGGACTAACACAACATCGAATTTAGCACGTACAGCCCGCGCAGTCGTAGCCCGCGTCGGCGAGCCAGTCGCAGGTCCAGCCGCGGGCGACGGCGTCGTCGCAGGTCCACTCCGCCTCCCCCCAGACCGCGTCCTTGAAGGTGACGTCGCAGGGCGAGTCGACCTGCTCGTAGGTGTCGCGCCTGTCGATGAAGAAGAGCCAGACCTGCTGGAGCCAGTCCTCGATGTACTCGCAGTCGGAGAACGCGCCGCCGTCGTCGCGCGCGGCGAGCGTCGCGTTGATGCCCCAGAGGATCTCGATGCGGCGCTTGAGCACGGTGCCCGTGCCCCGGAAGAGGGACGTGTAGTCCGTATCGCGGTCCTCGCACTGGAACGCCGGGTAGAAGTCCGCGTCGATGTGGCACCGGCGGAGCAGGTAGCAGCAGTCCTTGGTCTGGGCCCGGGCGAGGTAGGTCAGGGGCCGCGGCGGGTCCGCCTCGACGATGAAGAAGTGGTAGCGGAAGACGGTCATGGAGAAGCCGAGCGCGAGGCCGCCGCGCGCGAGCCACTTGATGACCTTCACGTGGCGGTGCGACACGAGCTCGTGGATGAAGACGCAGCTCATGAGGGACCCGATGAGGAACCCCGCGAAGTGGATCGTCACGGACACGTTCGAGCTCATGGACAAGAATATGTCGATGGAGAAGAAGCCGCCGAAGATCGCGAGCCGCGTCCACCGGTTCAGGATGCCGTCCCGCATCTCGTGGAAGTTCATGACCAGATTCCCGAAGTGGATGCCCAGGATACAATAGACGCCCGCGCTGAAGCCGACGACGCGGCTGTAGGTGTCGAAGATCTGCGCGACCATCGCGCCGACGACGACGCCCGCCCAGAACATGACCACGATGAAGGGCCCGTGGACCATCTCGAGCACGGACCTGGGCAGGAAAAGGGTGATTCAAGTTCTCTTCAAAATGAGTGTTCCGCGCGCGCGCGTTCCAAAAAAGCATCCATGCTTCGAGACCGTTCCGAGAGATGATCGCTCGTCCAAAAATCAGCCAAAACGAGTGGAAAACAGCCGAGATCGGAGCCTTTGAAGTTGGGAATTTCGCTCTCTTTTCCTGCCCTGGCACGGACCCTAAAATGAGGAAGACGGCGCTGTTCGTGAAGATGTGCTCCACGCCGAGGTGCACGGCCTGGTACGTGAAGAGCCGCGAGTATTCCATCGCCTGCAGCTCGCAGCCGTGGCCGAAGTCGGACACGGCCTCGAGCGCGTGGCGCAGCGACCCGTGGCGCTCGTGGATCTCCAGGTTGTTGTTGATGTGGTCGCCTAAGAACTTGGCCCAGTAGAAGGCCAGGAGCAGCAGCGTGAAGTAGGGGAAGAGGCTGTTGGCCTGGAACGCGATGTCGACGTCCATGAACTCGCGCTGCACGCCGACGATGCGCGTGCCCTCGGGCATGTCCGGCGGGCGCTTGAAGACGGCGGCCTCGTCGTCGTCGTCGTCGTCGTCGTCGTCGTCGTCGTCGTCGTCGTCGTCGTCGTCGTCGTCCCGCGGCGCCTCCTCCTTGCGCTCCGCGCCCCCGTGGTCCATCAGGTGGAGCACGCCCGACGCGCGGCGCGCGGCGCCCTTGGCGCCCGCCGCGGCGCGGTGCAGGCTCCGGCTCAGGCGCCGCGACGCCGTCGACAGGGCGACGTCGCGGTCGTCGACGTGGTAGAAGGGGCCGCCCGTGTACTTCACGGTGTAGCGGACGACGTCGTCGGCCTTGGACTTGTGGCTCTTGAGCACCTCGCCCGAGAGGTACATGCCCGCGCGGAAGAGGGGGCAGGGCATCTGGAGGCGCACGTAGCGCCGCTTGCGCTCGCCGGGCTTGAGGGGCACGGGGAACTCGATGTGGTACGGGTGGTCGTCGTCGAGGAACTCCTCGTGGGAGATGTGGACCTTGGCGCCCTTCTCGATCTTCCCGTGGCGGCTCGGGTGGTGGTCGTCGCGGTAGAGCGCGTGGAGGTGGTGGAGGCCCAGGCGCTCCGTCCACGTGAGCTGGCGCGCCGCGTGGACCTTGCCCGACGCGTCCTCCTCCTTGTCCAGGAGCTCGTCCAGGTCGTCGTCGTCGGGCGGCGCGCCGAAGGCGCGCGCGTTCGCGCCGTCGACGCTCGAGCTCGCGCGCTTCCGCGCCTCGAAGAAGAGGTCGTCGAGGGGGTTCGCGACGGAGCGCGCGGGCTCAGGGGGCTCGGGGGCTCGTCGGGCTCGTCGCCGCCGCTCGCGGCGCGTCGCCGCTCGCGCGACACGCGGAGGTGCTGCAGCGCGCACTCGAAGCCAACGACCAAAGCGCGGTGGACGAGCTTCGACGGCACGGTGAAGTCGAGCTCCGTGCCGTCGTCGAGGTGCATGGAGAAGGTGTGCTTCGCGTGTCGCTCGTCGAGGCCCTCGAGCTTCTCCTTTGAGAGCGCCGGCCAGAGCGTCGCGACGCTACTCCACCGGACGTGCGCGCGGTCCCCCGCGTAGATGCTCGAGTCGATGCCCCCGGGGTACTCGAGGGACGACGCGCTCGTCGCCGTGCCGTCGTCGCCGTCGTCGCCGTCGTCGCCGTCCGAGTCCGAGTCCGAGCTCGACGAGCCCTTGCGGAACGACGCGAACGCGGCGCCGAGCGACGACCCGCGCGAGAAGCGGCCGCGCGCGTCGCCGCTCGTCGACCGCTTGCGCAGCGTGCTCATGCGCTTCAGCAACCGGCGCTGCTCCGCGGGCTGGTGCCACCAGAAGCCGCCGGGCTCGCGGAAGACCTTGACGGGCACGACCGCGCGGCCCGTCGCGCTCGTCGGGTCGCGCATGACCTGGCGCAGCTCGAGGCCCGCCTCGAGCTTCCGCTTGAGCTTGTGGATGGCGACGTGCATCTCGTGCTTGATCGTCTCCGGCGACGTGAGGTCGCTGAAGGGGCTGAGCGCCGCGAGCGCCGCGGCGTCGAGGTGGTCGAAGTCGCTGCCGATGGACGACCGCAGCGACGACGCCGTGCTCGACCGGGGCCGCGGCCGCGCGGCCGTCGGCGTCTTCAGGATGTCGAGGGGCGGCGGCCGCGGCGGCGCGGGGCTGCTCGTCATCTCGGGCGAAAACGTGACCGTCGACGCGCGCCGCGGCCGCGCCGCGGGCGGCGGCGGCGGCGCGTCGCCGGCCTCGACGTCGGCGCCCCGCGCGTAGGTCTCGTAGCGCGGCGGCCGCTCCGGCGACGGGGAGCGGCCGCGCACGCTGTCGTCCTCGGCCTGGAGCAGGCGCCGGAAGAGGGAGATGTCCTGGTGGTGCTCGTGGGACGGCTCCGGGTGGACGACGTCGTCGCCGTCCTCGGACCGCTCGTCGTGCTCCGCGACGAGGCCCAGGAAGATGGACCGCTCGTCCCCATCCGCCGACGCGTCGTCGTGCATGCTGGGGGCAGCGTCTAGAAGGTGCCGTTTATAAATCCGTTTTTGCCCTTCTCAACATCTCCTCATGCTGCTTCTGCGAGCTCGTTGCTGGATGCCTTGGAGAGCCATGGCCGAGCGCATCCTCTTCTGATTTGGGGCTGCCCGTCCAGAGAGAGCATGGCCGCCGATCGCATCGAGGGCTACCTCACGAAGCAGGGCCACGTCTTCAAGACGTGGAAGACGCGGAAGTTCGTCCTGAGGACCACGACCGCCGCGCTCGAGTACTACGACGACGCCGCCGAGCCGCCGAAGCTCAAGGGCTCCATCAGCCTGAAGCGCGGCTCGAGCATGCTCGACGCCGCCGGGGAGACGGCCTTCGTCGTCATCGACGCCGACGGCACGAAGTACCCCATCAAGGCCCTGAGCCCCGACGACAAGGCCAGGTGGATGGCCGTGCTCAACCGCGTCATCGCCGGCGGGCGCGACTTCGACGAGATCTTCGCGATCTGGCAGCCGCCGCGGGCGTCGTCGTCCCACGACGGCGCGTTGAAGAAGGGCGGGCACTGGAACAAGGCGATCTCCGACGCGCTCTTCCACAAAATCGACACGGACGGCAGCGGCTTCATCGAATTCCAGGAACTCTGCGCGGCCCGGCGTCCCGCGGCCGCGACGATCTTCGAGAGATTTGGGGTAGGAAAACCGTGAAAAATCGTCACCGTCGTGCTTGGTAGGCGCGGCCATGGTCGTGCTCAAGCGCGCGGGCGTCGCTCCTTCTATCACGGCCGAGCACATCTGGGAGACCGCGGACGACGACTGCTCCGGCTCGCTGGACCGCGACGAGTTCTTCGGGTTCATGACGTCCATCAAGGAGAACCGGGCCGTGAGGGTTTCCATGATCGGCAAGCCCGTCGCCGCGACGGCGCCCAAGCCCGTCGCCGCGACGGCGCCCGGCCCCAAGAAGGGCAACAACGTCATGCGCACGACGTTCATGAAGAGCGACTCCGACCGCGATTTCGCCAAGCAGCTCGAGCTCGAGGCCCAGTCGTTGGAGAGCTTGATGCGTTTCGCCTTCGAAGACGGCCAGGCGTCCTTCAAGATCGAGGAGGGCGACGAGGCCGAGGAAGACGAGGACCTCGCGGCGACGATGGCCAACGTCCTGGTCACGGGCGCGGACCCGGACATCGTGCCCCCGCCGCCGTTGGTGGCCCCGCCGCCGTTGGTGGCCCCGCCGCCGTTGGTCGCGCCGCCGCCGTTGGTCGCGCCGCCGCCGTTGGTCGCTCCGCCGCCTCTCGTCGCTCCGCCGCCTCTCGTCGCTCCGCCGCCTCTCGTCGCGCCGCCACCCCTCGTCCCGCCGCCACCCGTCGTGAAGCCGCCGCCCTAGGACCCCGGCGCGCAACACCCTCATCTTCTTACTCGACGACCGCGTGCGGGCCGACGGCGTGCGCCGCGGCCTTGGCGAGGGGGTCCTGGGAGTGGTACTTCTCGAGCGCGGCTCGGTCGTGTGCGGCCTCGTGATGGCCCACGTTTTTCTTTTGGTGGCACATGGCGCCGCGGCGATCGTAGCCGGGCTTGCAGTCCGCGCCTCTCGCCAGCTTGTAGCTGTCGCCGCCGCCGCCGCCGCCGTGGGCGGCGCGCGCGACGTGGCCGTGGCCCGCGGCGAGCATCTGGTTGTGCGTCTGGGGCTTCGTGAGGCCGCTGAGGAGCCGGTGCTCCAGGAAGCCCAAATGGACGAAGCCTAGGCTGTCTAGGACGCCGGGCTCGTCCTCCACAATTTCTTTCTGCTCCTCTACAGGCTGCCCCTCGGCGTCCGAGCCGCGCAGGCTGAAGCCGCCCATGCTGAAGAAGGCGTCGCTCGACACGCACGCCGCGAGCAGCAGCAAGGATCTCATCGGAGTGTCGACGACGAACGAGAGAGAGAACGCAGCTAGCAGCCCCACCTGTCGGGATCCAGCGGACGGCTGCGTGCGGCAGGCGCGCGAAATAAACACGCTTTCGAGGCCGAACCTGAAGTCTTCAAAGTTGAATTCAACATTACTTCTCGGCGCGCTTCTTCTTCGCGATGGCCATCTCGACGTCGTCGAGGCCGCCGAAGAGCGCCAGCCCCGACCAGGCGACGCAGGACGCGGCGGCGGCCGCGCGGAGGCCGCCGCTCGCCCAGAGGCCCTTGGCCGTCGCGTACGCGACGCCGGAGCCCAGGACGAAGTGGTAGAAGCTCTTGCCCGTGCCGTCCGGGTCCGACACCTTGGGCTTGAGCTCCTCGCCGCGGCTCTCCACGGCCGCCTCCTTGAGGGCCCACTTCTCCAGCAACCAGAGCTTCGTCGCCGCGGGGTCGCCGACGCGCATCGCGCGCGGCAGCTTGTCGCGCGGCTCGCGCGCGACGTGGACGCGGACCTTGCGCGGGAAGACGCCGCGCAGGCACATGGCCTTCTCGTCGGGCCGCTCGCCCGACGTGGTGTCGTAGCGGATCGTGACGTCGTAGATCGCGTCCAAGTCGTCGCCCAGGGCCTCGATGGCCGCGGCCAACCCCGCGCCCTTGGGCACGAGGACGTGGTTCCAGCGCCGCGGCGGGTCCAGCGTGAGCCCGTAGGCCCGGGCCTTCTTCAGGTTCGACGGGGACAGGTCCGTGCCCTCGGGAAAGAGCAGCGCGTACGCGGGCCCCGCGGTCTGCGCGGCCCGGAGCCGCTCGCGGATCGTCGCGACGTCGGACGCGCGGTCGACGCGCCCGAGGAACGAGAACCCAAAGGCCTGCATGGCCCAGCCGAAGAGCGGCACGTGCTTCAGCGAGTCCTTGAGCATGACGTGGAGCGCGCCCGCGCGGCCGTGGCGGCACGCCACGGGCCAGAGGAAGAGCCAGTCGAGGCGGCAGTGGTGGTTGCTCACGACGAGGACGCACCGGTCGTCGCCGAAGCTCCGCGGCACGTCGTCGCCCGTGAGCTCGTAGCGCGTCCCGCCGACGTACTCGACGCACGCGCCGGCGAAGCTGAACCACCACCACCGGCAGAGCTGGACGCAGGACCGGAACGTGTCCACGGCGCCCAAGGGGAGCAGCACGACGGCGCAGGGGAGGAGGTAGAGCACGGAGCCCGCGAAGGCGCTCGTCACGAGCAAGGCCGAGAAGACGAGGCCGCGGAACATCGCGCGCGATCCTACTACGGTTTCAGGCGATTTGGTGGCGGTTTCGGCGGTCTGGTGGCAGTATTGGCGGTGGCTGGATGGGGTCGGTGGCGGTGCGCGAGGCGATGTTGCGCGCGGGGCCGATGGCTGGCAGCTCTTGAGCTCGATTTTTTACACAAGCATCAACCACGCTCGCTGAAAAGAAATCCACAGTTCAGCTCGCTCGAGTGGCGGGCGCGGATCCAAACCAGCCGCCTCGACACGCGATGCCGCAGCCCTCGAAGCCCGTCGTCGCCGCGTCGGCGGCCGTCGTCGCGTCGGCTTTGTCGCTCTGGTGGGCGCGCGCTCGGCGCGGGTCGAGCCAGCAGCGCGCGGCGTCGGGCCCCTGCCCCTACAGCCCGCGCGTGCGCCTCGGGAGCAAGGAGCGGCGCACGGTCGTCGTCATCACGGGCGCCTGCGGCAACCTCGGGCGCAAGCTCGCCGCGTACCTCCTGGACACCTACGGCGCCGCGGTGGAGGTGCGCGGCGTCGAGCACCCGCTCTTCTGCAAGGCGCCGCCCGAAGGCGTGCGCCTCTTTGTCGGCGACTGCGCGAGGCCCGGCGGCTGGCAGCGGTCCCTCGACGGCGCCCACGCCGTCGTCCACTTCTCCGCCGTGAACCCCTACCCGAACGCGACCTGGGCCGAGAGCGGCGCGTCGACCGCGCACGCGTGCCAGGTTTTGCTCGCGGCCGCGAAGCGTGACGTGCGGCGCGTCGTCGTCGCGTCGAGCAACCACGTCATGGGCGGCTACAAGGACGACCCGGCCCACGGCGTCGTCTACGCGTCGGACCCGCCGCGCGTCGGCACGGCGCTCAACGACGCGGCCGCGCGGGCCCAGTCGGGCGACGCCGTCGCGTACGGAGCCGCGAAGCTCGCGATGGAGGAGCTCGCGCGGGCCCTGGCGCCGACGCGCCCGAAGGCGTCCTTCGTCGCGCTGCGCATCGGCTGGTGCCAGCCCGGGGCGAACGCGCCGGCCACGCTCTGCGCGTCGGGCTGCCCGCCCGAGTTCCAGACCGAGTCCGCGCGCGGCGCCGTCGCCGGCGACGCGACGGACGACGCCTGGTTCCGCGGCATGTGGCTCTCCAACGGCGACTTCGCGCGCCTCTTCGCCGCGGCCATCTTCTCCAAGTCCGTGCCGCCGGGCTTCCACGTGGCCAACGCCATGAGCGCGAACGCCGGCGGCCGCTGGGACCTCGACGCGACGGAGGCGCTCCTCGGCGTGCGGCCCCGCGACGACAGCGGGCGTTAAAGTGACTTGCGCGGCGGCCGCTTCGCGACGTAGAGGCGCTCGAACTCGCGGAGGAGCCCGTCGCTCGACGTCTTCGCGGCGCTGAGGCGGTACCAGTAGTTGATGGACATGTTCCGCCCCGGCAGCGCGCGGATGAAGTGCCACCAGCCCAGGGGGATGTAGAGCATGTCGCCCTTGCGCACCGTGACCTCGAGGGGCCGCGCGCCCGCGGTCTTCGGGAACCGCGCCGCGATCTCGGCGCCGTCGAGCCGCGGGTCCACGAGGGAGAAGACGGACTTGGCGTTGCGGTCCCCCGAGGGGTAGAGGCAGTCGCCGTCCCCCGGGTGGTGGAGCGTGACGACCTTGGCGCCGTCGACCATGCAGAAGAGGTTCTCGTCGGGGTCGAAGTGCGTCGGCGTCGCGTTGTCGCCTGCGCGGGAGGTTTCCAAGGAATGATTGGCCCGACAACGACGAGCGAACACGCCGCGTCCAAGCATCAGCCCGTCGAGCTCGCCGCGCGGGTCGGAGCCGCGGCCGAAGTAGAGGATCGGGTTCGACGGCATCGGCGGCCCGAAGGCGCTCTGGAGCCCCCCCGGCGGGCCCGCCGCGTCCAAGTCCTTGAGGAGCTCGGGCAGCTCGCGGCCGACGTCGACGCGCGCCGCGTAGTACGGCCGGTCCGGGTCGTCGTCGAGGTAGTCGGCGAGCGCGACCTTGTGGTCGTCGTAGAGGTTCGCCTTGTCCGGGCGGCCGAAGAGGGTCTTGCCGTCGCGTTTGGTCACGTCCGCGGTCGTCGCGCGGCGCACGGAGATGGGCCGCGCGCCGCCGCACTTTTTACGCACGTACGCGTCCGTCCACTTCTTGACGGGCGCCCAGTCCGCGAGCGCGCCGCGGAGGAGCACGGGCGCGTTCTTCTCGACGTAGTCCTCGAAGCGCCACTGGTCCGCGCGCTCGAGGACGTCCACGGTGCCCGTCCAGGCCTCGGGCCGCTCGAGGAAGGGCCCGCCGAGCCCGGCGCTCGCGAGGCTCCGGCGCACGAGCGCGAGGCCCCGCGCGATCGCGGGCTCGCTGGCGTCGCACGCGGCGAGCGTCGGCGCGCGGCACGGCGGCGAGTCGAAGAGCTCGTAGACCGTGCGCTTCAGCGCGTCGTTGGCGCTCACCGCCGCGCGCGGCGCCGTCGCCGCGACGCGGCGGAGGAGCCGGCCGAAGCCGAGCGCGCGGCCGTCCTCGAGGAGCCAGCCGCTGCCGTCGGCGAGCTTGAGCCAGCCGCGCTCGCGCACGCCGGGCACGACGCGCACGCGCTCGCCGCGCCACTTGAAGTTGATCTTGTCGCTGTCCGTCGACGGCCGGTCCCGGACCTGCGCGGGGTTCTCGGCGTCGGGCCGCGCGCGCGGCGGCCGCGCGCACCCAGACGAGCGGCTCGTGCGCGACCTCGAAGAGCTCCGTGCCCGCGTCGACGCGGTCTACCGTGGCGTTCGCGAGGCCGCAGCGCTCCACGCGCGCCTCGTGCGTCGTCACGATGGCCGTGAGCGCGTTGGCGAAGGCCGGTGTCTGGCGTTTTTTACGCGCGTCGTGTCCTCTGAAACTCACGCGACGGCGCACCTTGAAAATGGGCGTGTCCGGCACGTAGCCGGACGGACTGCCGAACGCGGCCATGTGGGGGCTGCTTTCTTACGGAGCCATTGCGTGCTTCAACAACTTCCCGATTGAATAGATGTTGCCCCACATCGATTTCGGTGATCGCCTCGTCACCACTGGAATCCGGCTGGGCAGCCTCGATCATGGCGTCGAGCACCGCCGGCACGGATCTCGAGCTCTACGCCTGCTGCTCCTGCACCGACAAGGAGCTCGACAAGCCCGTCGACTTGGTGGCCATGCAATTCGACACGGAGAAGCCGGTCCCCCGGGGCGGCGTGCTGCGCGTGCCGAGCAAGCCCATCGTCGAGACCGTGGACGTCGACGCCTGCGCCCCCGTGCCGCTGCCCGAGGAGGCGCCGAGTCGGTGGAGCCGGGCGTCCATGTACTTTTCGTCGCCGGAGCCGGCGCCGGAGCGCGTCGCGCCCGACGAGGCCGAGGCCGCGCCGGCGTCGATGTACGAGCGGCTCGTCGGCGGCGACGCGCCGCCGCCGGGGACCACCTCACGGAGGAGCAGCAGGCCTTCCTCGCGAGCGAGGACGCGGCCGCGGAGCCCGCGCCGCCGTCGGTCTACGAGTCGATCTTCGGCGCCGCGCCGCCGCCGCCGCCGCCGCCGCCGGCGAACCTCTCGTTCACGCCGGGAAAGTCGCCGCCCCAGACCGCGGCGTCGTTCTACGACTCGATCTTCGGCGCGCCGGTCGCCGCCGCGCCGGCGGACGCGGGCGCGCTCCCCGGCGGCATCCAGGGCACGTGGCGGCTTGACCGCGTGGAGCCCGAGGCGGACTTCGACGCGTTCATGGCCGAGCTCGGCTTCCCCTACCCCGTGCGCCTGGCGGCGCTGGCGCTCATCGGCGGCCGCTTCCGCTTCGCCGCCGCCGACGGCGGCGCGACGGCCGTCATCACGGAGCTCGGCGTCTTCGGCGACGAGGAGACGCGCGTGCCCATGGACGGGACGCGCTTCGAGTTCGCGGGCCGCACGGGCGAGGCGGTCGTCCTCGTCGCGACGAAGGACGCGGACAAGATCTACGTGACCGAGGAGCGCGGCGAGCCCGCGCAGGTCATGAGGCACGTCTTCGCGTGCGCGGGCGACGAGGCGCGCCGGACGACGTCGAGCGCCGCGGGCACGTCGTTCGACGCCGTGTTCCGACGCCTCCCTTAAACTTCGCACTCGTCGGCGGCGCAGTTCGGGTCCGGGTCCGGCGCCGTCGCCGCGAGGAAGACGGCGAAGATGAAGAGCGCGCCGCCGATCGCGCCCTCGGTGCCGACGGTCTCGCCGAGGAAGACGAGCGACAGGAGCGCCGCCCAGAGGGGCTGGGACGCGTAGACGACCTGCGCCCGCGCGGGCCCGACGGCCTGCTGCCCGCTCACCTGGAGGATGGACGCGAACGCGTTCACCGCGAGGCCGGACCACGCGGCGGCGGCCGCGAGCAGCGCGAGGCTCTCGGGCGTCGCCGCGGCGGCGAAGGCGCCGAGCTGCGGCGCGTAGTCGACGTAGAACGCCGCGGCCGCGCCGACGGACAGCGCGGCCTGCGTCGCGATCTTCGTCGTGATGAGGTCCACGGGCGCGACGACCTTGCCCCACTCGAAGAGCCGCAGGTCGTAGGTCGCGTAGAAGACCGCGGCGAGCACGCAGAGCGCGTCGCCGGCGTCCGACGCGGCCGTCGCGGCCGCCGCCGGGTCGCGGGTGAACAGCAAGACGCCGGCGAGCGCCGCCGCGACGGCGAGCCAGATCCTCCGCGGGATGGGCACGCCGCGCGCGCCCTGCGCCAGCGGCACGATGAGCGTGGTGAGCTGGATGAGGAACGCGCCGTGGTCCGCGGACGTCAGCGAGAGGCCGTAGAGATTCGCCGTCGCGCCGAGGAACTTCCACAGACCCAACTCGACGCCGCCGCGGAGCGCGAGCGCCTCGTCGGCGCGGCCCGCGTCGGCGGCGGCCGCGGCCCGCGTCGGCGCGAGCGGCGCGAGCAGCGGGCCGGCGCCGAGCAGGCCCGCGAGCGCGAGCGCCGCGCAGCACGCGTTGAGGAGCAGGACCGGCGGCGCGGCCGCGCCCGTGGCGGCGGCGTGGAGCACCGGCGAGTTCGACGCGAAGACGACGGTGATGCTGCCGATGGTGATGAGGCCTCGCTGGTAGTCGCCCGGCAATGCCTCGTCGACCGCAGCGATGGGCTTGTCGACCGCAGCGATGGCAGCGCCGCGCCGCAGCGGTCTTCTGTGCAACGTCTGGAACGCAGCGACGCGCGGCACCAGCGCGAGCGCTACGAGCCACGAGCACAAGCGCGGCATAAGCTGTCAAAAGCGCGCGATCTAAGCACGCATAAGCTCGTGTGCAAGATGGTGACGCGGCCGATATTGCACTTAAACATATCGGGCTGCCGGCCGCGGCCGCGATGGCAGCGTCAAATGAAGAGGGCAAAACTGTTTTGGACACGATACGTAGGAGAATGGTTCTCGCTTTGTCCCATGACAACGCAATTTTCATTAGAGGCTGGGTGGCTGGAGGCTGTGTATTGTAGATGTTCCGCAGCACTGCGTGTCCTCGACCCCGACCACACTCCCAACCGTTCTCGTCTGCTCACGAGGGCGCTTCTGCCCGCGTACGAGAATGCTGAGCTCTTGTCCCACGAAGTATTGGATGATGTCCGAAAACGTCCGATAATGCCGCGTCATGAAATGGTCGAGTTGCTCCTCAAATTCGGCGCAGACCCGAACAAAAAAGACGCTAGCAACTATACGAGCCTGCTTCGACAAGCTATGTATCACGGTTTTGTTGACGTCGTACCAACCCTGCTACGTTATGGCGCAAACCCGAACAAAAGCGACGGCGATGACGGGTTCAGCCCGCTTCGACAAGCTATCCATCAGGGTTTCGCCGACGTCGTACCAACCCTGCTACGTTATGGCGCAAACCCGAACAAAAGCGACGGCGATGGCGGGTTCAGCCCGCTTGAATACGCTATCCGTAAGGGTTCCGGTGACATCGTACCAACCCTGCTACGTTATGGCGCGGACGCTTCAGAATCGCCCCTACTGGCGACGGCCGCCCGCGACAACAAACCAGCGCTCGTGGCTCTGCTCCTAAAGTTCGGCGCGGACCCCGACGATCTCAGTTACGGTGTGATGCCTCTCCATGACGCCGCGGCGGAGAAGGAAGATCGGTCCGAACTCACGCGCGTGCTGCTCCGCGGCGGCGCGAGTCTCGACGCGACCTTGCATGGACGGACGCCGGAGGAAGTGTGTCGGGAATCGGAAGGAAACGAGAACACGCGGCGGCTGCTGTCCGACGTCGCCGCGGCCGGCGGCTGGAAGCGCTACGCCCGCGCGCCGCGCATCCAGCTCCTGATGCTCCGCGAGCTCTGCCGGCGCGGGCGCGCCGTCGCGCCGCGGGGCCCGCTGAGGCGCCTCTTCTCCGCGAGCTTCGCGAACTCCGGCGCGAAGCGACGCGCGGCGCGCGGCGCGTCGCTGCCCGACAGCCTCTTCTGGCTGATCACGTCGCTCTGGCGCTCGGCCCAGGAGGTCGGATGAGTAAGCAGGGGCGGTAACTCGGGCCAGACCACTCTTGTCGACATGTTGAAGTCTTTGTTGATGGTTGGTTGAAGAGCAGGAGCTCGAGGTTCAATCGGCATGTGTGCAGAGCGTGACATGACCGTGAGCATGCTCCGCGTCCTTACGTTAGCGGCGTGCGCCGCGTACCCGCAAGCGTACTTCGTGACGCCGACGCGCCATGCCCAGCCGCGCGACGCGCAGAAACCGCGCGCCGCGTCGGTGCTCCGCCGCTCGAGCAACTGCAACGACGACGAGCAGCCGCGGCGGCGGTCCGTCGTCGTGCCGTCGGCGGCGGCCGTCGGCGAGACGGAGACGCAGATGATCACGTCGAACGTGCAGGGCAACGTGAGCGTGCCCGAGGTCTTCGTGGGCAACGACGGCCTCGGGCGCCAGCTCTTCGACAACGGCGTCGTGCTGCCCGTCGGGTGGACGGGCGCGTCGACGCGGCGGCGCACGGGGAGCCGCTTCGCCGGCGGCGCCATGGCCCAGACGTCCTGGCCCGTCGGCGAGGCGAGCGCGAACCCCGGGAGCATCGCGCCGTTCAGCCGGAAGACGTGGCTCCGGGGCTTGAGGGAGGACGCGAAGCGGCGGCTCCCCATGTACGCGACGGACTGGGCCGACGGCTTCCGGAGCCCGGGGAAGACGCTGGGCGCGTCGGCCTTCCTCTACTTCGCCGTGCTCGCGCCCGCGATCGCGTTCGGCGGCGCGATGACCGCGGCGACGTCCGGCGTGCTAGGGCCGCGCGACGTCATCCTGTCCTGCGGCCTCAGCGGCATGGCCTACGCGACGCTCGCGGGCCAGCCCATGACCTTCGTCGCGCCGACGGGCCTGACCCTGGCCTTCATCGGCGCGCTGTCGTCGTGGACCGTCAAGGCGGGCGTGCCGTTCCTGCCCATGTACGCGTCTGTGCGGAAATCAAATCTTCATCCCGACTTCAATGTGAGCGTATGCGGCCGATTCGACGCGAGCTCTTCTGCCCCGCTTCGAGAACTTGACGAGAGCCATCGATTCGTCCAAAAATCAGCCGAATCGACATCGATTTGACCGAGCTAGAGCGTTCTGAAGTTTGGTCAGGACCCCTTAAACCAGTGGTTGATTTCCACACAGGTACGCGTGGTGCGGCGTCTGGACGAGCTGCTACCTCGCGGTCCTCGCGTCCTTCAACGCGTCGGGTTTGATCAAGTACTGCACGCGCTTCACGGAGGACGTCTTCAACGCGTTGCTGGCCTTCAACTTCCTCTCGGAGGGCGCGTCGCCGATCGTGCGGCTCCTCCGGTCCGTGGGCGTCGGCGCCGCGCGGCCCGGCGACGCGCTGCTGGCCATGAACAGCGCGTTAGCGACGTCCGTCGCCTGCACGTCCCTGGCGGGCGCGCCGCGGACGCGCTTCTTCACGGCCAAGTTCCGGACCTTGATCGCGGACTTCGGGCCCGCGTTCGTCATCGTCGCGATGTCGGCGCTCCTGCGGACGGACGCGATGACGGGGCTGGGCTCGCTGGCGCGGCTGGAGCTGGGGGCGCCGCGGGCGAAGATGTTCAGCCTGGTGGATCTGGGGTCCCTCGCCGTGCGGTACCGCTTATTGGCCGCGATACCGGCGCTGTTCCTCGCGACGCTCTTCTTCCTCGACCAGAACATCACCGTGCGGACCGTGAACTCGCCCCAGAACAAGCTCGCCAAGGATTCGGCCTACCACCTCGACCTGCTGGCCCTGGCGACGATCACGCTCGGGTCGTCGCTCCTGGGCCTGCCCTGGATGTGCTCCGCGACGGTCCAGAGCCTCAACCACGTCCGCGCGATGTCGAACATCGCCGCGGCCGAGGAGACGGTCGCCGAGGCGCCGGCGAAGCCGGCGCCGCGGCCCGACGAGGCGAAGCGCACGGTCGCCGTGAGCCAGAGCCCCCTGGACCGCAAGCAGCCGCCGCTGCCGTCGCCGGACGAGATCATCCGCGCGGCGCAGCTCAAGCGCAACGCGACGGCGCCGTCGGCCGCCGCGCGGCCGCCGCCGAAAACCCCCAAGCCCGCGCCGCCGCCGCTCCCGACGCCGGAGAAGGCCTGCCCCGAGACCGTCGCCGCCGCGGCGAAGCGCGACTTTGCTGCTGCCGAGGTTGGCGAGGCGCTCGCAACGGCGGCGCCGAACGCGACGGCCGGCGCGGCGAACGCGACGCGCGCGCCGCCCGTCGCGGCGCCCGTCGCGGCGGGCGGCGGCGGCGCGGCCGTGGCGTCCATGCGCCAGAAGGCCAACGCGACGGCGGCCGCGGCCGCGGCGCCGGCGGCCCCGCAAAAGCCCGAGGGCGACGTCGCGTCCGTCGTCGAGACGCGGCTCAGCGGCTTCCTCGTGCACGGCCTCGTGCTCGCGTCGCTGAACGTGGCGCCGCTGCTCAGCCAGGTGCCCCTGGCCGTCGTCTGGGGCGTCTTCCTCTTCCTCGGCCAGAAGGTCATGTCGGGCAACCAGTTCCTCGGCCGGTCCAAGGCGTTGTTGTTGGACACGAAGCGCCTCGACCCGACGGACACGGTCGAGCGCGCCATCGTCGAGCTCGGCCGCGGCAAGGTCCTCAAGTTCACCGCGGTGCAGGCCGGGTGCCTCGCGACGCTCTGGCTCCTCAAGCTCAACAAGGCCACGGCCATGGTCTTCCCCTCGGTCATCGGCGTGCTCCTCGCCCTCCGCGCCATCTTCATCCCGCGCTTCTTCGCCGCGCGGGAGCTCCTCCAGATGGACACGGAGATGGACATTTAAGAGGCGCGGCGAAGCAGGGGGGCTTGAAGGAGGACGCCTCGGAGGAGTCCTCGGAGGGGTAGGGACCAGGCGGCACTACTACAGCAGGCGGGCGTCGATCGATTTTCCAAATTCCGCCTCAACGGGCCCGCGAGCATGGTGCTCGACGAGGTTCAAAATGTCAATCACGATGTGCGAGTAGCCAAGCCGGCGAGCGCGCCAATCGCCATGGCAGAAGGACCGCTCAAGACCTTCTTGGTGCCGCTTGGCCAGGCCCTCATCGGCGCGTCTCGCGAGTCTGTAGAAGCTGCGATCACCAACGACATCGCGTCGAGCGAAAGCGCCATCGCCTCCTTCGTCGCGGCGACGACGGCGGACGCGTGCCTGCTCATGGGCGTCGACGACGGCGCCGTCGCCTTTTCCCGGAACTTCTCGCCGCTCCCGGAGCGCTTCGTCGCCGTGGGTCGGAGCGCGGCGTCGGGCGCCGCGCTGAGCTCGATCATCGAGGAGTACGGCGACTCCACGGACCTGGGCGAGCACTGCGCCGTCGTGCTGAGCGGGCGCGGCGGCACGCACGGGCAGACGGAGACGCTCGCCGTCGCGCGGCAGCTGCTGCGGGCCGCGGTGCGGCCGCTCGTCGCCGAGGCGTCGTCCGGCGGAACCGAGGCCGAGGAGGCGATGGCGCCGCGGCTCGTCGCCGTGGCGCAGCGCCTGGGCGACCTCGAGGCGGCCCTGGGCCGCTGCGACCGGCGCGCGCGCCTCGCGGAGGCGACGCTCGCGCCGCCCGCGGCCGTCGAGCGGTTCCTCGAGGGCGGCGGCTCGGGCGACGACGTCGGCGGTGCGCTCGACGGCGACGGCGCGCTCGCGGACGAGTGCGCGGCGGCCGTCGCGGCCTGGGCCAAGGACGCCCACGACCTCGTGGGCCTCTGCGAGGGCCGCGACGAGGACGCGAGCCCGCTCGCGTTCCCGCCGGGCCGCGACGCGGACGCGGTGCACGGCGAGATGGCGCTCTGGCGCGAGTACGAGGCCGCGCTGCGCGCGGCCGGCGACTCGCGGCGGAGCCCCGGCGGCCGGGCCGTCGCCCACGTGCTGAAGCGCGCGAAGCGCTTCGTCGCGGCCGCGCAGCTCGAGGACGGCGTGGCCGCGCCGCTCGCGCGATCGCTCGAGGTCGCCGTCGACGCGAACAAGGTGCTCCGGGATTTGCCGGTCGCGCCCGTCGAGGGCGCGGCGACGCTCGACGATTTGGCCGCGGCGGCGACGGACTTCTTCCAGCATTTGGCGAAGCTCCGCGCGAGCCGCCACTACGCGCCGTCGCGCGGCGCGCGCCTCGTGGAAGCCGCGTCCGACGCCGTCGGCCGCAGCGCCATGCGCCTCCTCGACGACGGCGCCGGCGCGCTCTTGGCGGACGAGGACGCCGAGGCCGCGGACCGCTGCTTCGCGGCCGCGCGCGGCGGCGTGCGGAAGTTCCGCGAGCTGGCGCTCGAGCTCATGCGCCGCGGCGGCGGCTCCGCCGCCGCGGGCGACATGCGCCGCGTCGCGAATTTGGAGCTCTTCCACGAGAAGGTCGAGGCGCGCCTCGGCGAGCTGCGCAAGTTCAAGGCGGACCACCACAAATTCCGCGGCGTGCTCGCGACCGTCCTCGCGAAGCGCGAGGCCGCGGGCGACGACCGGTCCGCGACGTCCGCGCTCGGCGAGCTCGACGGCGCCTACGAGCGCTTCCTGAGCGAGGTGCGCGGCGCCGGCGGCGCCTGCGACGCGACCTTCGACGGCGACGCGCGGCACCGCGCGGCGTCCGACGACTACTTCCGCCGCCTCGACCGCGCGGAGAACATGGCCGCGGCGCAGCTCGCGGCGGAGCTCGAGGCCGCGGCGACGGCCGACGAGACCTTCGCCGTCTTCGCGACGTTCCAGCCGCTCCTGGACCGCCCCGCGGTGCGCCGCGCGGCGCAGCGGCACCAGGCGGAGCTCGTCGACACGGTCAAGCGCGACGTCGACGGCCTCAAGGACGCGTGCACGAAGCGCTACGAGGGCTCGAACGCGGCCGTCGTCGCGTCGTTGCGGGACCTGCCGCCGCTGGGCGGCAAGATCCTCTGGGCGCGGCAGATGGAGCGGCGGCTCCACGCGCAGATGGCGCGGCTCAGCGACGTCCTCGGCGGCGACCGGGCCATGGAGCGCCACCCGCGGGGCCGCGCGCTGCGCACGGTCGCCGACGAGCTGTTGCGCCACCTCGACGCGACGCCGCTCTTCGAGGAGTGGCTCGGCACGTGGAAGCGCGCGACGGCCGCGTCCGCGCGCGCCGAGTCCGAGCTCCGGGGCCAGCTCCTGCTCCACGTCGACGTCGTCGGCGACGCCAGGGCCTTGGTGGTGAACTTCGACGAGGACCGCGTCGAGCTCTTCAAGGAGGTCAAGCACCTCCGGTGGCTCGGCTTCAAGGTGCCCGAGACGATCGCGCTTTTAGCCGACGAGGCCCGGGACCGCTACCCGGCGGCGACGGCGCTGCGGGCCGCCGTGCGCGGCTACGGCGTCGCGCGGCGCCTCGTGGACCCGGCGGACGACGGCCTCCTCGGGCCCTGGCTCCGCGCGATCCGGGACCGCGTCGCGCGCGTCTTCCCGCGGGGCACCGCGGACGCGCCGCGGTTCCCCAAGCTCGCCTGGAGCAGCCCGACGGCGAACGTGCGCGCCTGGGTCGACGCCTTCGCCGAGGACGTGAGCGCGCTCCAGGAGAAGTTCGACGTGCTCCGCGACGCGCGGCGGCGCTGCGACGCCGCCATCGCGACGCTGGAAACGTCCGACGGCTTCGACGACGTCCACGCGCTCGACGGCGCGCAGGAGGAGCTCCAGGCCGTCGTCGACCGCCTGAGTTTGGAAGGGTTCCACGACCTCGAGGACTGGACGCGCGCGATGGACCGGCGCGCGCTCCGCGCGCTCCGCGCGCGCTGCGTCGACCGGCTCAAGCGCTGGGCGCTGGCGCTCGACGGCCGCCCCGTGGTCGTCGACGCCGCCGGGGACCGGAGCGAGGCCGACGTCGACGTGGGCTGCCGCCGGTCGCTCCACAAGATCGCCGCGCGCGACGGCCGGCTCCGCCTCGAGCCCGGCGTCGACGCCGCGCGCGCGGGCTTCCACGGCCAGCTCCGCGACGTCGTCGGCGCCTGTGCGCGGCTCCCGCGGCTCCGCGCGAGCCGCTTCGACGCGCTGACGGGCGCGGGCGACGACGCCGCGGGGTTCGCCGCGGCCGGCGCGCTCACGGCGCGGAAGAAGAAGCGCGGCGACAGCCAGGAGCCCCTGGACGACGCCGAGGCCTACGGCGACGCCCTCTTCGACGAGGACACGGGCGACGGGTCCCTGGAGACGCTCCACGGCGCCTACGCGGCCGCGCTCGAGGCCGCGGGCCGCCGCGCGGACGACGCGCGCGACCGCTTCGCGCGCTGGCGGCGCCACGACCTGCTCTGGGCCTCCACGGTGAGCGAGGTCGCCCGGGCCGTCGACGACGCCTACCCGGCGCCGGCGCCCGGCGACGCCGGCGCGCTGCTGGACGCGTGGCGCGGCCTCCTCGAGGACGCGGTCGCCGCGCGGCACGACGCGGACGCGGACTTCGCCTTCGAGGAGGAGCGCCGGGGCCAGGCCGAGGCGGCGTCCCTCGCCATCCCGGCCAAGGTGCGGCGGCGCCGCGACGACGACCTCTGGGCCGACTTTGCCGCCGACGGCGACGCGTCGTGCGCCGTCGTCTTCGACGCGCGCGCGGCGCACGCGTCCCTGCGGTCCCGCTTCGAGGGCTGGCTCCGCGAGCTGCGGCGCGAGGCGGGCAAGCGCGCCTGGGACGCCGCCAGGGCCGTCTTCGACGCCGCGACGGCCGCGCGCGAGCGTTTGGACGCGCTCGACGAGCGCCGGTGCTCGTGCCGCGACGCGCTGCAGGCCCTGGCGCTCTACGAGGAACTGGTAAAACAGGTGCCGGCTTGGCGCGCGACCTGCGCGGCCGTCGGCGCCGTCGAGGCGACGCTCAAGGCGCAGCGCGTGGACCTCGACGCGCTCGCGCGGTCGCTCGAGGACGACGCCGAGGTCGATTTGGACTACCGCGGCGGCGCGGCGTCGCGCTGGCTCGAGGCGTCGCTCGTCGCCGGCGCCGTCGACGCGACGGCGCAGATCCTCGAGCGCAAGAAGGGCCGCCTCGACGGCGAGAAGCTCGCGCTCCGGGCCGAGGCGGACGCGGAGATCGCCAAGGCCGCGCACGTCGCGGAGCGCCTCGCGACGTTCTGGGCGGAGACGAAGCCCGAGCGCCTGGACCTCGCCGGCGGCGGCGAGAAGACGGCCGCGGCGTCGCCCTCCGAGGCGCTGGAGCGCCTCGGCGGCGTCCTCGAGCAGGTCGACAAGGCTCTGAGGGACGGCCGCGACTTCGCCGTCGCGCTCGCGGCGCTCGGCGACGCCGGCGGGGCCCCGCCGTCGGCCGCGGGCGACCTCGAGGCCATCCGGCGCGAGGCCGTGGCCCTGGGCGACGTCTGGCGCGCGCTCGAGGCGCCCGTGGCCGCGTGCGCCGCGCTGGACGACGCGCGGTGGGCCGACTTCGACGCCAAGGCCGCGCGCGGCGCGCTCCGCCAGGCCGACGAGGCGCTGCGCACGGCGCCGGCGAAGGTGCGCCAGTACGCGGCGCACGCCGACGCCGTCCGCGTCGTCGAGGCGCGCGAGCGCGCCGTCGGCGGCTGGGTCGGCGAGCTCCGGAACGCGGCGAACCTCGGGGACCGCCACTGGGCGAAGCTCGCGGGGCCCCTCTTCGGCGGCCGCGCGCCGGAGCTGCGGACGCTCCGCGTCGGCGCGCTCCTGCGCCTCGAGCTCGGCGACGCCGCGCGGAAAGAAGTGGAAGCCGTGCTCGCGTCGGCGCGGAACGACGCGGCGCTGTCCCAGTTCCTCGACGAGGTCGACGCGCACTGGGCCGGCGCGACCTTCGACGTCGCGCCGGGCCCGCTCATCCGGGGCTGGGAGCCCCTCTTCGAGAAGCTCGACGAGCACGGCACCGCGTTGTGCGCGATGAAAGACTCGCCCGCGTTCCGGCCGCACCTCGAGGCGCGGTCGCCGCTCTGCAAGCGGCGCCAGGGCTTGGCCGAGGAGGGCGACGAGCTGCGGCGGCGCCTCGAGCTCTGGGCTGACGCCCAGCGCCGATGGGTCGGCCTCGGCGCGATCTTCGGCGGCGGCAACGGCGGCGCCGCCGTCGCGGAGCGCCTGCCCGCGGCCGCGGCGAAATTCGCCGACGCGGACCGCGCGTTCGCGCGCTGCCGCCGCGACCTGCTGGCGAAGGCGCCCGCGGCCGTGCGCGCGCTCCTCGAGTCGGAGAAGCTGCCCGGTACGCTGGAGCACGTCGCGGCCGCGCTCGGCGACGCGCAGCGCGCGCTCGGCGACTACCTCGAGATGCAGCGCGGCGCCTTCGCGCGCTTCTACTTCGTGGGCGACGACGACCTGCTCTCGATCCTCGGCGGCGGCGACGACTCGGCCGCGCGCGTCGGCCCGCACCTGTCGAAGATGTTCGCCGCGGTGTCGGCCGTCGACGCGGCGGACGGCGGCGCGCGCATGGCGTCCTTCGACGGCGAGGTCGTGCCCCTGGGCGTCGCCCTCGAGGACCGCGACGCCATCAAGTGGCTCGTCAAGGTCGAGCGGGCCATGCGCGTCGCCGTCGCGGCGGCGACGCGGACCGCGCTCGCGGGCGTCGACGGCGACGACGTCGACGGCTGGCTCGCGGCGACGCCGACGCAGGCCGCGGTCCTCGCGACGCAGATCTCCTGGGCCGCGGCCATGGACGCGGCCGTCGCGGCCGGCGACCTCGCCGGGCCCGCGGCGGCGATCGCCGCGAAGCTCGAGACGCTCGCCGCGGCCGTCGTCGCCGACGCGGGCGGCGGGGATCTAGCGTTACGCCGCCGCAAGCGCGAGCAGCTCATCGTCGAGGTCGCCCAGCAGCGCGACGCGACGGCGGCGCTGGGCGCGTGCGGCGAGCACACGGCCTTCGAGTGGGCGCGGCAGCTGAGGTTCTACGCCGTGGACCCGGCCGGCGCGGGCCTCGCGGGCCGCCTCGCGGGGCCCGGCGCGGCGCTCGTCGAGGGCGAGGCCTTCGCCGAGGAGATGGCCCAGAGCGGCGTCGCGCTGGCCGTCGCGGGCCGCCTCGGCGACGCGGCCGTGTCCTTCGGCTTCGAGTACACGGGCGTCGGCGCGCGTTTGGTGCGGACGGCGCTCACGGACCGGTGCTTCGAGACGATGGCCGCGGCGCTCAAGCAGCGCCTCGGCGGCAACCCCGTGGGGCCCGCGGGCACGGGCAAGACCGAGTCCGTGCGCGCGCTCGGCTCGAACCTCGGCCGGCACGTCGTCGTCTTCAACTGCGACGAGGCCTTCGACCTCGGCGCGATGGGGCGGCTGCTCAAGGGTTTGTGCCGGTCCGGCGCCTGGGGCTGCTTCGACGAGTTCAACCGCCTCGACGAGGGCATGCTCAGCGCCGTGTCGGAGCAGCTCGAGGCGATCCAGAACGCGCTGCTCGCGCGGAACGCGTGCGTCGACTTCGGCGGGCCCCGGGGCGACGGCGTGCCGCTCCGGCCGACGACGGGCGTCTTCGTGACCATGAACCCGGGCTACGCGGGCCGGAGCCCGCTGCCGGAGAACCTGAAGCAGCTCTTCCGCACCGTGGCCATGGTCCGGCCCGACTCGCGGGCCATCGCGACGACGGCGCTCTACGCCAAGGGCTTCGAGGCCGGCGCCGCGGGCCGCCTCGCGCGGGGGCTCGTGAGCCTCCTCGAGCTCTGCGCGACGAAGCTGTCGTCCCAGTCCCACTACGAATGGGGGCTGCGCGCCATCGGCCCCGTGCTCGCGCGCGCGGGCCTCTTCTTCGGCCGCGACGCGCGCGACGTACAAGGCGACGAGAAAGCCAAGGACGCCATGCTCGCGTCCCTCGACGCGACGGTGACGCCGCGCCTCGTCGCCGTCGACGTCGACCCCTTTTCGAAGCTGGTGACCGCCGTCTTCGGCGCCGCGGGCGCCGCGGCCGACGCGCTGGCCGACGACTTCACGCCGCGGGACGCGCTCGCCGACGGCGCGAGCCCCGCGGCGCTGGGCGCCGCCTTCGCGGCGGCGCTCCGGGCCGCCGCGGGCGTCGAGGCGCCGGCGAAGACGTGGGTCGACAAGGCGCTCCAGCTCCGGAGCGTCCTGTCGCTGAGCACGGGCGCCGTCGTCGTCGGCGGCGCGGGCGTCGGCAAGTCGACGCTGATTTCGTGCGTGCTCAAGGGTCTCGAAGCTCTCGACGGCGTCGCGGGCGTCGCCTACGTCGTCGACCCCAAGGCGCTCGTGGCGCCGAACTACAAGGAGCTGCTCTTCGGCCGGTTGGACGCGACGACGCTCGAGTGGACCGACGGCCTGTTCACGGCCGTCGTCCGCGCGGTGCGCGCGAACGACTTCGGGGAGCTGCGCAAGCGCCACTGGGTCGTCTTCGACGGCGACGTCGACCCGGAGTGGGCCGAGAACCTCAACTCCGTGCTCGACGACAACAAGACGCTCACGCTCCCGAACGGCGAGCGCCTCGCGATCCCGCCCGTCGTCAAGCTGCTCTTCGAGGTCGAGGACCTCAGCCGGGCGACGCCGGCGACGGTGAGCCGCTGCGGCGTGCTCCACGTCGACGCGGACGTCGTGCCGCTGGGCGACCGCGCCAAGGCCGCGCTCGCGAAGATCGCCGCCGCCGACGCGGACTACGCGGCCGCGGTCGCGCCCCTCTTCGCGGCGGGCCACGCCGTCGAGGCCGCCGTGGCCTTTGCATTCCAGGACGCGGCCGGCGAGCTCATGCCCGCCGTCGCGGCCGCGCAGCCCCTGGGGTCCCTCGCGGCGCTCTGCGCGGCCGCGGCGCGCGACGGCCGCGCGCGCGGCCTCGACCCCGCGTCGGCCGCGGGCGCGGCCTACGCGCGGCGCAGCGCCTACTGCGCCGCCTTCTGGGCCTGCGGCGGCGGCGACGGCGAGGACCGGCGCGCCGCGCTCTCGGCGGCGCTGGAGCCCTTCGTCTCCGCGACGGGCGACAAACCCGCGAGCTCAAGCGGCGCGCTCTGCTACGACGTCCGCGCGACGACGTCGAAGCGGGGCGACCTCGACGCGTCGAGCTTCTGGGAGGACTGGGAGGCGTCCGTGCCCGCGGCGCCGCGCGTCGACGGGCCCAAGGCGCTCGACGCCGTCGTCGCGACGGCCGACACGCTCCGCCACGAGGCGCTCGTCGACGCGCTCGCGTCGTCGGGCCTCGGCGACGGCGACGCGGGGACCTGCTCCCTGCTCTGCGGCCCGCCGGGCAGCGGCAAGACCATGACCTGCGCGCACGCGCTCGGCGGCCGCGGCGACGCGTTCCACCTCGCGCCGCTCGCGTGCTCGAGCGGCACGTCCGCGTCCGAGGTCGCGGTGCTGCTCGCGGAGCACTGCGAGCTCGTGCGCGGGCCGCGGTCGACCTGGTCCCTCGAGCCGAAGCGCGCGCTCCACGGCGACAAGAAGACGCTCGTCGTCTTCTGCGACGAGATCAACCTCGTCGCGCCGGACGCGTACGGCACGCCGCGCGCCTTGGCCTTCCTGCGCCAGCTCGTCGAGCGCCGCGGCTTCTGGGCGCTGTCGCTGACGTCGGCCAAGGCCGCCCTCGAGCCGTCCAAGTACGCGCGGACCAACAGCGGCCGCTGCCCGCCCAAGTGGGTCGCCCTGAAGCGCGTGAGCTTCGTCGCCGCGTGCAACCCGCCGACGGACGCGGGCCGCCACCCGCTGCCGGAGCGCCTGCTGCGCCACCTCCACGTGCTGCGCGTCGGCACGCCCCGGCGCGCGTCGCTGGAGCGCGTCTACGCGGCCTACTGCGACTTCGCGGGCCGCGACGCGCCATCGTCCGAGGCGTGCGACGCCGTCAAGGCCGCGCTCCACGTCGCCATGCTCGACGTCTTCGAGGCCAACGCGGACCGCTTCGTCAAGACGAAGATGCCCCAGTGCGTCTACAGCGCGCGCGAGCTCACGCGGTGGTGCCGCGCGCTCCGAGCGGCGTACGACGGCGGCGGCGCGGACCACGACGGCCTGAGCCCCGCGGCGTCGCTCGTCCGCGTCTGGGCCCACGAGGGCCTGCGGCTCTTCGCCGACCGGCTGCCGTCGCCCGAGGACGTCGACTGGTGCGCCGACGCGCTCGACGCGGCCGCGGCCGCGCGATTTCCCGGCGGCCGCGCTCGACCGCGGCCGCGCGCTCCGGCGGCCGCTGCTCTTCAGCCGCTGGCTCAGCCGGAGCTACGCGCCGGCGAAGATGAGGGATTTGAAGTCCTTCGTGACGTCGCGGCTGCGGACCTTCTACGAGGAGGAGCTCGACGTGCCGCTCGTCGTCTACGACGACGTCGTCGCGCACGTGCTCCGCATCGACGCCGCGCGTCGCCCGCGTCCGTTTTCGTTTCCCTCGAAAAATGCCGGAGGCGAGCGCGGGGCGCCCGCGGCGCGGCCGCCGCGACGCCTCCGGGCGGAGGACCGGCGCCGCCCGCGGGTCCCCGCCGCTCATTCTGAGCGCGGCCGGTCTTTTCCCGTACCGCCGCGGCTCGTTCCCCTCCGAAGAGCGCGCGCCCGGCCTCGCACCCATCGCCGGGCGCCGACCCCTCTGATGACTGCCTCGCGAAGAGCGACTCGTCGGCGGACAGTGCGGGGGCCGCCAGTGAAAAGGGCCGCGGAAAGAAGGTCGGGTTTACCGGGAGATTTCGGAACCCGCGCCGATACGCGACGGCCGACACCTCTTTCCCCATCGCAGGTGCTGCGGGCCGAGTCGGGCCACCTGCTCCTCGTCGGCGAGTCGGGCGTCGGCAAGAGCGTGCTCACGAAGTTCGTCGCCTGGAACAACGGCCTGAGCCTCCACGAGGTGCAGGCGACGCGCCACTACACTTTGGCGAAATTCGACGACGAGCTCCGGGGCGTCATGCGCCGCGCGGGCGTCGACCGCGAGCGCATGGTCCTCGTCATCGACGAGGCCGACGGCGTGTCCAGCGCGTTCCTCGAGCGCATGAACGCGCTGCTCGCGTCCGGCGAGGTGCCGGGCCTCTGGGGCGTCGACGACACGCAGCGGCTCCTCGCGGGCTGCCGCGAGGCGATGCGCGCGGAGGGCCCCGGCGGCGACGACGCCGCGGACGACGCGGCGATCCTCGACTGGTTCGCGCGCAACGTGCGGCGGAACCTGCACGTCGTCTTCACGCTGAACCCGGGCTGCGACCCGACGAGCCTCACGCGGCGCGCGACGGCGTCGCCGGCGCTCTTCAACCGCTGCGTCGTCGACTGGTTCGGCGCGTGGTCGCCGCAGACGCTCGCGCAGGTGTCGGGCGCGCTGCTGCGCCAGGTCGACTTCGGCGCCGTCGGCGCCGTCGACTGGGAGGCGCGGCGCGGCGCGCTCGGCGCCGACGCGCGCGCGGCCTGCGACCTGAAACTCAAAGCCGCGCTCGCCGCGGACGGCCCCGTCGGCGGCGGCGGCGACGACTCCGACGACGACGACGATTTAGAAGCGCCGGCGCCGTCGCTCCGCCACGCCGCCGTCGCGGCCCTCGTCGGCGCGCACGCCGCCGCCAAGGCGCGGCGTAGGGAAGTTTCGGCGCGCGACTTCGTGGAGCTGGCGAGGTGCTTCGCGCGCGAGTGCGAGGCGCGGCGGTCGCGCCTCGAGGGCGCGCAGCGGCGCAAGACCGCGGGGCTCCGGGAGCTCGCCAAGGCGCGCCAGTCCGTCGCGGCCATGCAGGGCGACCTCAAGGCGCAGAACGAGCAGCTGGAGACGCAGGAGGCGATCGGCCGCGAGCAGCTCGAGAAGATGGTCGTCGACCAGCAGCAGGCGGAGCAGAAGCAGGCCCAGGGCGCCGTGCTCCAGAAGGAGCTCCAGGCGCGGACCGGCGACATCGAGGAGCGCAAGAAGACGGCCGAAGCGGAGCTCGCCGAGGCCGAGCCCGCGTTGATCCGCGCGCGCGAGGCCGTGTCGGGCATCAAGAAGTCGCAGCTCGACGAGCTGCGGAGCCTGCGGAACCCGCCGCCGAACGTCAAGCGCACGCTCGAGGCCGTGCAGATCCTGCTCGGCCTCCTGCCGCTCCAGGCGTCCTACTCCTGGGACGACGTCCGCAAGGCCATGCGCAAGTCGGACTTCATCGCGACCGTCGTCGGCTTCTCGCCCTCGGACATCGAGGACTCGAACGCGAAGATGGTCAACGACCGCTACCTCAAACCGTCCGACGCCTACCTCGAGAAGGTCAACGCGAAGGAGCGCGACGAGAAGGGCGACGACGCGAAGGAGATTGTCGCTTTAGATTACGACATCGTCCAGCGGTCGTCGCAGGCCGCGGGGCCCCTCGTGCTCTGGGCGTCGTCCCAACTCTCCTACTGCGAGATCGAGCGCAAGGTCGAGCCCCTCAAGCAGGAGGTCGAGAAGCTCGAGTCCGAGACGAAGGAGACGCGGGAGTTGGTGGACGCTTTACAGAAAGAATTGGAAGCGCTGGCGAAATCCGTCGCGGGCTACAAGGACGCGTACGCGGCCGCCGTCCGCGAGGGCGAGCGCATCAAGGCGGACATCGACGCGGGCAAGACGAAGGCGGAGCGCGCCGTGCGGTTGCTCGCGTCGCTCGCGGACGAGCAGGACCGCTGGCAGGAGGAGGCGGCGACGTTCCCCGAGACGATGCAGCTCGTGCCCTACCGCGCGCTCGTCGCGGCCGCGAACGTCGCGTACTGCGGGCCCCTGTCGGAGGGGGACCGCGTCGCCTTCCAGGCGGCGGTGCGCGACGCGGCGCGGGGGTTGCACTTGGTCGTGGACGACGAGGCCGGCGCCTACTCGCTGGGCGGCGCCGTGAGCCGCGCGACGGCGCGCGACTGGCACGAGACGCACGGCTTACCGAGGGACGCGCGCTTCGTCGCGAACGCGGCCATGCTGCTGGGCTCGAAGCGCTGCGCGCTGCTCGTGGACCCGTCGGGCGGCGCGCTGCGCTTCGTCGAGTCGCTCCACGCGGCGGCGCGCGTCGCCGTCGTCTCCGCGGCGGACGCGTCCTTCGAGAAGACGCTCGCGACGGCCGCGCGCTTCGGCACGGCGCTCGTCGTCCGCGACGTCGACGAGGCCTGGGACGCCGCGGCGCACCCGCTGTTGAACCGCGAGTTCGCGAAGCGCGGCGGCGGCAAGGCGGGCGTGAAGCTCGGCGGCGACTTCGTCGAGGTGTCGCCGGACTTTACGCTCGTGCTCCACGCGCGGAGCCGCGCGGCCGCGGACGAGCTGCCGCTGGGGTTGCTGGGCCGCGTCGCGCTCCTGGACTTCAGCGCGACGGCGGAGTCGCTCCAGGCGACGGCGCTGAGCCGCTTCCTCCGCGCGGAGCGGCCCGCGCTCGAGCGCGACCGCGTCGACGCGGCCAAGGATTTGGACGCGCAGCGCGCGCGGCTCCTCGCGCTCGAGACGGACGTGCTCGAGCGCATCACGTCGTCGAGCGAGGGCGAGGCGTCGCTTCTGGATGATGACGTCGCGTTGCGGGCCCTCGAGGCCGCCAAGGCGGAAGCTTTGGAGGCCAGGGCCGCGGCGCGCGACATCGAGGCGTCGATCGAGAAGCTGAGGGCCGCGTCCGACGACTTCGAGGCCGCGGCGGCCTTCGCCGCGGACGTCTACGGCGTGCTGGCGCGCCTCGTGGAGCTCCACGACGCCTACGCCGTGAGCCTCGACGAGTTCCTCGACGGGGCGCTGCACGCGGCGCTCGCGGCGACGGCGCCGCCGCCGCCGGGCGCCGAGGCGCCCGCCGCGCGCTTCGCGCGCCTCGCGGCGCCTTTGGTGGCGCAGGTGTCGCGGCGCGTCGGCCGCGCGCTCCTCTCGCGGGAGCACAAGGTCGCCGCGAGCCTCGCGCTGGCCGCGCTCTACGCGGATCGCGCGGGCGACCCCGCGCTCTCGGAGCGGGCCGTCGCGTTCCTCGCGGCCCCGCCGGCGCCCGGCGACACGTCGCTCCGGGCGGCGCAGGTGCGGAGCGCCGTCGGCGCCGGCGACGTCGACGCCATCGCGGCGTTGCTCGAGCTGCCGGAGCTCAAAGGCGCGGACGCGGCGGCGCTCGGCGCGGCGGCGGTCGCGGGCGGCGACGCCGCGGTCCGCGAAGCCGCGTCGCCCGCGCTGGCGCTCCTCGCCTGCAAGGCCTTCCGGCCGGACCGCGTCCTCGACGCGGCGGACGCGCTCGTCGAAAACGTCCTCGGGTCCGACGCCGCGGACGCGTGGCGCGGCGGCGCGGGGGGCGGCGGCGTCGAGTCGATCGCGGGCTCCGCGGCGGACGACGCGGCGCGCCTCGGCGCCTTCTGCGACGCCAAGGAGCGGCGCAAGCAGGAGCGGAAGCGGCGCCGGAGCGCCGGGTCCCTGGGCAAGGAGGACGACCTCGAGGTCGCCGACGGCGACCGGCAGCAGGCGCTCGACGCGCTCGCCGTCGAGGCCGACGGCGACGCGCTCGCCGCGCCCGTCGCTTTGGTCGTCGCGGAGCGCAACGGCGGCCGCGACGCCGCCGAGGAGGTCGAGGCCGCCGCGCGGTCCCTGGGCGTCGTCGTGGAGGCCGTCGCGATGGGCGCGGCGGCGAGCGAGCGGCGGTCGCGCGACCTGCTCCGCCGCGGCGCGGACGCGGGTTGTTGGGTCGTCTTCCGCAACGCGCACCTCGCGTCCGAAGCCTGGCTCCTCGGGCTCGAGAAGGCCCTGCGGGGCCTGCGGCCCGCGCCGGGGTTTCGCGTCGTCCTCACGGCCGAGGTCGCGGTCGGCGAGCCGTCGCGGCTGCCCGGAAGGCTCGTCGCGCGCGCGGCCGTCGTCGCGCTCGGCGCGGACGTGGGCCTGCGGGCCGCGCTCCTGCGCCACGAGGCCCTGCTGACGCAGCGCGACGCGGAGAAGGGCGGCGCCGCCTGGGACCGCGGGCCCGTCGAGCGGCGCCGCGTGCACGCTCTCTTGGCGGTCGCGCACGCCGTCGTCACGGAGCGCGCGCGCTACTCCGACGCGTTCACGAAGCCCTACGAGTGGGGCGACGTCGACGCGAAGTGCGCGTTGGAGGCGGCGGACGCGGCCGTCGACGGCCTGAACGCCGGCGACCACGCGGCGCCGGAGGACCTGCCGTGGCCCGCGCTCGCCGGCGGCGCGTTTTACGCGACGTACGGCGCGCGCGCGGAGCGCGACTCCGACGCGCGCGCGCTGCGGGCCGTCGGCGAGCGCGTCGTGAGCCTCGAGGCCTTCTCCGCGACGCAGCGGGGGCCGACGCCCGGCGGCGCGTGCCCGCCGCTGCCCGACGGCGCGGCGCTCGACCGCGACTCGTGGCGCGCGTGGATCGCCGCGCTGCCGCGCGCGACGCCCTGCGACTGGCTCGGCCTCGCGCCGGCGGCGGACGTGCGCCGCGCACACGACGCGCTCCAGCGCTTCCTCGGCGGTCTGGCCGCGCTCCGGGGCCTCGGCGGCGCCGGCGCCGCGGTCTCGGTCTCGCGCGACGCCGGCGCGGCCCGGCGGCTCCGCGACGCGCTCCAGACCGCCAAGCTCGCCGCCGCGGCGGAGCTGGGCGCGCCCGTCGACGACCTCGAGCTCGCCGCGGCGGCCGGCGGCCTCGAGCTCTCGGTCGACGCCCGCGGTGCGGCGCTCGTCGACGGGTCGTTGGACGCGGCCGCGGCCGCGGGCGCGCCGGCCGCGCTCGCCGTCGCCTGGCGCCCCAAGCAGGCGCCGGGGCCCGCGTCGGCGCTCGCGCCGCTCCGGGCCGGCGGCGACCACGTCGCCGACGTGCGCCTCGACGCGGCGCCGTCGGCCGCCGACGCGTACCTGCGCAACGCGACCCTCCACTTCGTCGGGGGGGTCTGAGAAGAGAACCCGTAAAAGCATGGACGGGTATAACATCTCCCGCCGGCGGGATATGCATAAAGCTACTTCTAGTACAAGTAGTGCGCGGGACAGCGTCCGCGTTTGGCGAGCTGCCACACTTTGTCGAGTCTCGAGACGACGCGACGAGGCGACCGACGCGAATGATGATGGACGACGCGACGGTGGACAGTGACCAGTTCCTCCCCGATGATATAGCATGGGCCGCGCACGAGGGAGATGTCTATATCGTTGATGAGTGGCTTCGGGCGGGCGGCCCCGTCGATGCAA